TAGAATGTTTAGGGAAACGACAGTATCGACCAAATCGAGTTTCCATCTGAACCTTTGAACCATAGAATGTTTAGGGAAATGACAGTATCCAAGTAATTTTGCCATCGTAGAAAATATGTTTGTGTTTGATCGCTCTTGCTTCGAATCTGCTGTCGTATTTTGAGTTTCTCGGAATCTATATCTTCAACAATTTCTAATACAGACAGTAAAATGATCGATAGAATGGATAATGGCATTTGAAAGACGACGTCGAAGGGAAGCGAACAGAGGGGACGAAAGGAATTTCGAGACAACGTGAAATTAACTGCTTAGTTAGACGCGTCTATGGGTGAAATCATTCAGTTTCTTCAATTTTGTGGATCAGTTTGCGTTTAATTTTTTTAATCGTACTACCATATCTCGGTTGCACATCACATAAATGAAACGTCGTTGTAGAAAGGAGTGAGCAAATTCTGCGCGTGAAACTTCAGATCCCAGTGACATGCTAAGCTGTGCATTTTCATCTAATTGGTTCGTTCTATCGCTCCTGTCGTTACAGTTTATGCAGATTGTAATACCGTGAAGTATGAGAAAGATGCTTTTATAATCTGAAAAAAAAAAAAAAACGTACGGTCGCGTACGTCAAATTACGGGACACTGTTACGATATGGAAGAAAGAATATTTTTTACCTCGGAAAAGCTCTCGAAATTCAAGGTGAACAGTCCCCCGGCTGACAGAGTGGGAAGACTCAGGCAACTTCTTAACGCGAATGCGAATAACATTTGCGTATTTGTATTAGCGTTGTACCACAGCGCGCTGTATCTGCGAACGATGTTAATTTACCAACTAGAAGGATCCACGATCTAATTTACGTTCGAGTTCCGGCAAATGTCGTAGTAACATTTAACTTCACCGCGATCTTTCGACGACGAAAGTTGAAAGGAAATTGTACGGATTGAATTATTAAAGTATACAGTAGAACGTCGATTACGCAGTCCGAGCTAATTGGGAGACAAATGCAATTTGGATGACCGATCTGAAAGAATCAAATTTCTGATCGACGAAATTAAATATTAGATGTTTGTTTAAAAGAAAGTGCAGAAGAATTGAGTGTTTAACAATCAGTTGGATTATTGTCTCAATAGAGACGAAAAATTCCTCCTAAAAATTTCGAAGTTTTTTAATAATGTCGTTTCAAATTTTCTGTTCAATAATACATCTATTAAATTCCAGCACCACTGTTCTTCTCTTAATACTCGCGGTATAAATGAAATACCGTACGTAAGCAGTTTAGTAAACTAAAGTAGGGCATTTCTGTTTCAAATTTGAGGATATGTGCTAAAAATGTGAACATTGCTGCGCACGTAATTAGATGATTCATCCTGTGTTCGGATAATCGACGTTTCACTGTACGTATATTTCTCGACACTTGTTACTTACATCGACTGCGTAATTTGATTGTTCGAGTCCAATATGAATTGTCCTTGCAACGATAAGAAACCTAGGTGCAATATTTGAAGGAAGAAAAATAAACTGTCCTTGAAGAATTCTCCAGAAATTTCCGTGTACGTTGAAATCTGCTCGTAACATAATCATTTCCAAAAAATGTTTACGACTGTTTGAGTTCTTGTGGGGATTTGCGCGTTAGAAAGCTTACCTTTACCAGCGTGACGCTGGAAACTATCAGTACGAAACCCATGCAAAAATAAAGATAAGTGGCATGGCTGTCTTCAATAATCTTCACGAAACTGCTTCGAACACCATTGGAACAGAACCGATTCAAACATGGTTCGTCGTCAGCAATACATGGAACAAAAGAAAGTATATTAAATCATGAAATGCTTTCAAAATATTTCAGAAGAAGTTAAAGGTGAACAAATGTATTCGCACACTCGATGAAGAATTATCGATGTTTAACGTACCGGCATTTTACATATACCTGTGTTACCATAAGGGGTCAAATGACCCCTCGCGGTACATAAGGTATGCAAAGA